TTATACTGTGGTCAGCATGAAAATGCACCTTTAAAGTTAGATTGATCTAACTTCAATGCGGCAACGTAGTTCAGAAGCCCCTAGAATCTAGTTCCTTCTGAAATATCGCGCGCGGCACTCGCCGCGTCCATCAGTGGCGCCTTTACGCGCAGTAAACGTCATCCAGCATTCCTTCTCATCACGTCTTTTTCGAGTGGTTGAAAACGCTATCCATGCGGTCAGTTTTGTGTCGGGAAGGAATTTGATTACACGATCGGTGGGAAGGATATACGCTCGGAGATCAAAACGTCACGCAATGGTTAGTTTTCTTCGACCATACGCTGATCCGTACATCATTATTTTCCCTCGTAGCGGGCAACTGCGTCACGAACTGATAGAGCACGTAGCGACGTAACCTCCACTCTGCCATTTGGATTTTCGTTCTCCGAGGGGCGCGGCGCCGCGATTGAGTTCCCAATTTAGAATTTGTGTTTAGCTCGCGTTTAGTAAAACTATTTCCAACGTATATCGAGCAAATAGGAAAGAAAGATCCGAGTCTTTCGCTTGAACGACTGTTCCGAAGAGCTGTCCACCCGATGTAGTTACGAAAATTTTCCCCGCGAATGCCGATAAAGATAATCGTTTGTTTTAGAAACCCTTGATGTTGCACGGGCACGAGCGTGCCATCACCAAGATAAAGTACAACAGAGAGGGGGACCTGCTGTTTTCCGCCAGTAAGGACAAGCAACCCAACGTTTGGTACTCGCTGAACGGAGAGCGCCTTGGCACCTTTAATGGACACAATGGCTCCGTATGGTGCATCGACGTCAACTGGGATACCACACGATTGTTATCTGGCAGCGGTGACAACACTCTGAGAGTCTGGGACTGTCAAACTGGTCGGTGCATATGATAGAATTGTACGACCACGTCTCACCAATGTGTATGTGTGCCATATATATTCGTATCCTCGCTTAATGTTGTTCAGGCAGGGAAATAGGGCAGCTGCACACAAACAGTTCCGTGAGAACGTGCGGCTTTAGTTATTCGTCGAACCTCGCGGTGTTCTCCACCGATAAGGCATTGGGTCACCAGTGCGAGATGTTTATCATGGACGTGCGAAATGTCGACGCCACGTTGTCCCAGGAGGACGCGATCGCTAGAATCTCGGTCAACGGCCCTAGAATCTCTGCCATATTGTGGGGCGCCCTCGACGAGACCATTATCACTGGTCACGAAGACGGCGAGATTAATCTCTGGGATGTGAGGGCAAGTGTCCCCGATTGTTATCACATTAATTGCGAATGAGCGTGAGTCGGTGGGTAATAGTGTCGTTTTGCAATGTCTACAGACAGGAAAGAAGCAGTCCAGCGTTAAAGGCCACAAGTCGCAGATAAACGATATGCAGTTCAACAAGGACGGCACCATGTTTGTAACTGCATCCAAGGATCATACGGCGAAACTTTTCGACAGCGAGTCTCTGCTGCTATTGAAGACTTACAAGACGGAGAGACCCGTGAACTCTGCTACTATTTCGCCGATTTATGATCATGTACGATTTGTGCCTCGGTTTCCATATATATTTTTACTTTTGCAAAAGACATGATAAAGTACAATTTCGGTACAATTTCTATTGTACTTGCACTACTGGTAATTCTACTATTATGTTTGCTAAGTGGACAATGGTTTTCTACAGGTGGTTCTTGGCGGCGGTCAAGATGCTATGGACGTCACTACGACGTCCGCGCGACAAGGCAAATTCGACTCGCGATTCTTTCATCTAGTGTTTGAAGAGGAATTTGCACGTTTGAAGGGACACTTCGGCCCCATCAATTCTCTCGCCTTCCACCCCAACGGTCGTAGTTATTCTACAGGCGGAGAAGATGGATACATGCGTATTAATAATTTTGACCAGTCTTACTTTGAATTTCATTTCGAATATTAAATTTATCGATCAAGAGACATGTGTGTATGGTAATATATGCATCATTTTGCCGAAATATATTGTGTGTAATTATTTTCTCAAATTAAACAAATTGAACCAGTTACTTTCATACAAGAAAGCAACAGAGTTTATTGTTTTCCAAACGGATTATAATTCACCTTTATATTCCTTTATTTACTCTTAAATCTATTACTCCTGCAATCAAGTCTTTACAAAGGGAACGCGCTAATCTCCTGTCAACTTTGGAGTTGAGCACTCGTAGGAATTCATCCCGGTAATTTTTTGTACCAACTCGTGAAATTATTTGGTAAACGGTATTAAATTTTATTGCATGTTGACGATAGATAATTTAATGACTTGAACATTGTGCGAAATAAATATTCCAACTTTGTAGAAATTTATTCACTACGTCGTCTCTTGAATTGTATAATATATAAATCATTTATTACAAATTTTGAAAAGTTTCTTACGACTTCTCCAAATTTTAAATAATTGATATCAAATATTTGTATCTATTAGTGAAACGATTAAACTGATATATTCACAAATATTGCTTACATTTTTGCATCGTTTCATTATTTTTTTCAGGATTAAAAATTTTTCTTTTCCACCTTTTGTTAGGTTACTATCAATTTTAGGGAATAATATAATATAGCAAATTGGCTTTTGATTAATTTTATTTTTACAAAATTGAAATGTTTTATAAACTAGAGTATATGATAAAAAAACAGTACATTAATGTTCTTAAACACAAGTTAATTATATCTTTTTTATTTATACTTCGTTTAAGAAACAAAGCAGATACGTGAGTCTCAGGCTGCGATCAAGCTGCCGCTATAAATGCTACGGAGCGTCTCTCTTCTTTTATTTTTATTGAAAGAACGGAAAAGACGAATACTTGGAAACATTTGTAGCGGCACTTTGACCGCAGCCATTACATCACATTTCTTGCTCACAACGTTAAACTTCCGTTGATCTCCATTGGATTACGATGAACTTTAAACATATAGTATGCTTAGGTTCAAAGTGTAAGTAGTGCAAGAATTTTAATTCAATGTTGGTACACACTTTATTTTTATAATCATATAATATTGTACAAATTATTACAATAAACTATATATTTCTGTAATTATGTCTGTTTCTTAGTTTTACCAACATGGCTTGCCGTAAGCGTTTGGCAAGATAGCAAGAATTAAATAATACAGCCATACAAGTGCAAAAATGCACTTCCTCCTTGATTACGATTTTTCTCTAAAATTATATCCTACAATAACAGTACAAAAAAATTATCGGGGACAAATTGAAATTACTAAATTAAACCCGTTACTTCTTTTAATGACTATCTACATATTGATGTAATCCTATAATCGTTTCGAAGTGTATACAAGAAGAAAATGAAATGAATAATCTCTTCTTGTGTACTACACTATTGCTATACTATATATTATAACTTTACATATTTATATATATAATATTGTAATGTTTATATTATATATATACATATATAAGTGTAGATGTACGCCGCGTTGTGTGCTAACAGGTTCAATGTTCTGTTTCATATTCACGTTTATCGTTTATCAGAAAAAATGTATACACGATTTGTGTGTGCCATCCTATTTTATTGATATATTTCTTTATATTATATCCTATATTAATGTACATTTTTGTTGTTCTTATAAGAGCGCTAAAATAAAACTGGATATTTTATTTATTTTTTTTTATTACAATATACGCGACTAAAGGGTTTCAAAAACCTATAGCAATATAGATACAATTTACAAGTTTCGATTAAAAAAGAAAAAACAAAAGGATTTTTTGTATTATATCATAAATTATTCCATACACACAGTTTTATGAAATATAATTATAAATAAAATGACGATAAATTTCACTAATTGTTAATTAAAAAACGTACGATGGCGAAATGAAAGTATAGCATATATATTTGAAGAATCTCTCAGATGGTAGCTAGTATACACTTGTCATTTAGTACCTGTATACTAGATTCGTGAGACAGTCGTGGGCACTCTGGTCAATTAGTATAATTTATCGCATCGTATATCGTTTGGAAACTACTTCGCAAACATGATGTTTATCGTCCTATCAAACCGGAGATTGAGGGACAATTTCATTGTCCCAAAGTCATATTTAGTCATCATAATAACAAAATAGAATAAATTCGAATATATTTATCTTAGAAAAAGAATTTACATTATAGAGAATTCGCTATGCAAGAGAGTAATCCGTACTGCGCGTGACGTGTTACGATGTACCGTCGCACCGAAATGTAAATACACTTGATATTTCGCGCGAGAGTCCGTGTTACACATATAGGCGTTTATAGGTCGGGAGTATGCAGCTATAGGATTTAACCAAGGAATTAGACTGAAGGCCACCCTTTTAATGTTTTTACAGTCTATTTTATGTAGGTCCGATAACAACAATAAAAATTCTTAAATAAATATATATCGGTATAATCATTGATGGAATATTATTATGCAGTCAACTAGTTTCCTTGTGTCAAGAGTAAGTGTTTCCTTTTCTTTTCCTTAGCTTTTTTTCCTTCCTTTAGGTGTTTGGAATTAATTCGCGCGTCTTAAAGCATAGTATACATACACATGTACACGTTAACGGCACGTTAACCACTGTACGCTCGCAGTGATCAGTATGAAGTACCACAAAGAGTTATGCGAAATTCGATCAGACAAGACACAATTATCACTCAAGCTCATCATTGCTATTTTCCTCTGCCTTGAATCGCACCGGATCTGGTGGTGGGCTTTGCCGGTTGCGGGATAATCGTGATCTCGTCGTTGATCTTCAACGGCTTCAGAAGCGAGTCGTTCGATCTGGACGACGGGGACGCGGGCGCGTTCTTCTTATCCATTACTCTCTTTGCTACGACACTATGCGCAGAGTATACGTGGTTCTCGAACTGCTTGTACATTCCGAATGTGGCAGTGCAAACTGTACATTTATACGATAGGTGTGCTGGCTTTAATGTCATCCCGTGATCTCGAGCAACATGATTTAATAATTTCCACTGATATACCTAGAAATACAACATGTACAACTCTAAAAAAATGTTCACATGTTTGTTTGTGGTCTCTCTCTCAAAGGCACACTTACCCTGCCACAAGCTGGACAACGACCCGCATCTTTCCCTTTATTTGCTGCCTCTTGCATACTGGATGTGACAAGCCCATGAGATCCTAACAAGTGTCTTTCCAAACCCTACTCAGAGAAAACGAATGTGTTACTGTACAATTTACGAATGCACGAATTTTATTATATATAATAATGATGAAAACATGTGAAATTTATATTTTATAAAGATCGATGTACAAAAATTGTTGAATAAATATACATCAATATATTTTTCAAATATATGAAAAAAAACCAATTATATTTTATCTTTAAAAATATTTTCATTTATTATGGTTATATAAGAATTTACCTGATCTGTGAAGAATCGGAATTGGCATTTCTGGCAGTTTAATGGAGGTCTGTTATAAATCATCTTTGGATGTATTTTTACTTTGTGGATCCATTGCATATGATTTCGTAATTGTTCTAGATCCTAAAATAGGTGCGACAGATTGTAATGCAAAATATTTCGTGAAGATTTACTTGTTATTACATATGACACCTGAATATCATTCATTATCTATCATATATGTATAATTTTATTAGTATGTAGTGTAATCCCTAGTAGTACAGTGCATTAAACAAACATTGGTTAAACATCGGCCCAATATTTGGTCGTGTTGGGCCCATCGTTTAGCCAATGCACTGTGCTACTAGGGATATAATCAAAGCTACATAAACGTATTTTGAATCGATGAAAATAATCAATTATAATCGATAATTATAATCACTTTGATCTCACGTTGGTTTTTACAAATTTGTGCAATTTCACAGGTTGCGGCTATCATGAAAAGTCAAAATAAAGATGTACAAATTTATTGTAAATCTTACACCCACCTTAATATATCCATCACAAATTTCACATATAACAAATGTATTCTTTCCTGCGGACTTTGAAGAAGTTCCTGACCCCGGAATGGAGGTTTGAGATGTTGTACGTGGTAGTGGAGTAATAGATATACTTGGCTGACTTAATAACTTTGCCGTGGGATTTTTGGAACTGGCTGTTGTGTTCTGAAAAGACATAAAGTGTTCGTGTTACTTAGGAAACACAGATTTGTGTCAAGTCAATAATGTTACTTTTATAAATCATATAAACGACAAATATCTGTTTTATTTATATCCACCTGAAAAATCTTACATTAAAGTTGTACATATTTGTTATAGATTGCTGTCTCTCTCTTTCTCTTTAAACTGCATGTGTATAAGTGTATTCTTTATTTCCGCAAAGTTCAACGACAATTTATCAGCAATGTGCAACATTACTTTTCATTTTTATCTTTTCTACAACCATGTAACAATTACAATTTATTATTTTTGTATCTTCAAGATAAACTTATTTCTATTATTTCTATTAGTTAAAAATTACTTATACTTTAGTTGATGAGACTTTAGCATTTGCCATATATGCAGTGTCGTATTACTATTATATACGTAAACAGAAGAGTAAAACATTATTACATTTTAATCTGTAATATTAATGAGAAACGTATAACTCCTTTGGATACTACGTGTGTACGTGTACTATTAATTGCGCAGAAAATGACCGGTTTGTAAAAAGTAAATACGGGAGGAACACATTATATGCGTAGTGTTAAAATCTGCAAGCGACTACGAGTTCACTCAATCAAAACTTGGAGAATGTTAAAAGCCTTTGTTCGCACCTGCGAGGCACATCATTCATGCGATATCACGAAAATCAGTTATTCTCCCTGGTTACTTTCCAATATTTATTTACCTGTGACGAGGACAACCTAGACAGAGAGTCGATTACGTTGGGTACAAGTGCAATTGGTGTGGGTTGACCGGAACTGCCGCCGCTACTGCTACTCACTCCCGAGACAGCCGACATGACAGTCCCAGAGCCACCCACCACCTGCCACCACCCATACACCTTTTTTTACTTGTTCTTGGAGCTTTAAACGTATTTTAAGTGTGATACTTTGTATGTACGCACGTACGTGGAACATCGAAAAGCTGGAGAACACGTGCGGTCTCCTATTGTATTGTCAAGCGACGTGTATACAGGGTGTCCCAAAACTCACAATCGATCTTCGAGGGGGTGAAAGAGGGTCAAATTCTGAGACGAAAGTTTCTGCGTCACTTATCTATCCAGTCATTATTCACAGAGATATTTAACAATTAAGTCGACCAATCCCGCGCGCGCTGCAGTGTCGGAGGCCCTACACTTTTTCTATTTCACTTGTTTTCTTTATCAATTGATCGAATATGAAGTGATGTATCGTCTAACTCAAATTGCGCGATTTATTTGTTAAATAATTCGGTGAGAGAAAAGTAACCCAGGGAACTTTTGTCTCAAAAATTTTTACCCTCTCTCTCTCTCTCTCATCCTCTCAAAGGTTATGAACCTTGAGACACCCTGTATAGATATAACGCACGAGACGTTCCTGGTGGAAATATTTTACTGAAAATGTAATGAAATCTTGCTGAAGTGCATTTGAAAGTCTCTTTCGATCGACCTCATCTCATTAGTATATCGTTAATATCTTGGTAAAAATTCATTTTAGTTAAATTCAAAAATTTAATGTCTAAAAATATTTTATTTTTTTATCACTTTTCAACGGTATACTTTAACTTTTCTTATATTTCAAAGTACTACATTGCATCTCATGAGAAAAATTACAATGTATCTTGATACATTCAGCAATTTTTCAATAAAATATTTCAAGATGATTCGGTTATTTCCGATGTAATTTGTGTTTGAGTTCACACAGTTACCCTGTACATTCTATCCTCGATATAACAGGTTTCATAATTTTGCGTGTGTCTACCATGAGGTCACACACTGTATAAATACAACTACTGGCGTATTCCACGTCAGTGAATCACAAGTCTAATAATATTAGCGTTTCTATACAGTGACAGATAGAATTTTCGTAATTAACTCGACAGCTCTCGTCAATATAAATGTTTCCATTATGCATTAGATACCAAGGAAAATTTGACGATCACAATCGAGAGCTTTTCCACCCTTCTTGTGTCCTTACCCACCTTATGTAGTATTCATAAACATACATTATTTTAGCACGTATCCTACGTCGCTTTACCTCTGTACTTTGTTAAAGGTATTGTGTAAATACTAACTTACGATAAAGTAAAGTAACGATATGTGCGTTTATCTAGAAAATTCAAGATAATAGAGCGTGTATAGATAATATAATAATAGCCGAGCGGTCTAAAATATTCTGGATACACACAGCCAGTAAACTTGTATGCAGTGCGCGAATTGCTTCTCCCCTAATTTTACGAAGGGCGTGACTTGTCATAATTTTCACCGCCCTTATGTGTTAGTAAGCGTATGGAAATAATAATATAATGCTACGGCAGCTAACAAATCATAATACACAATTGTGTGACGGGTCAAGAATTTTTGCCAACAGTACAACAGATCCACGGTTACCTCTCAACGCGGATATACCGAACTAAAAACTTGTTTGCCTCACTCGTCTCTAGTCTCATTCCAACGTGTACGCCTCAGCCGATCTCCACGAAGCACGAGTCTTTAATTTCTAACATCAGTGATTTTTATTGACCGTATCTGACAATTAAAACTCTTATTGCGAAAAATATTACCCCAGCCAGGATTATTAATTACTTCTGGCGACTTTTAAGAATATTCTTACTATTTAATTTCCAAGTCCGTCTCACTGGCCGGTCACAGTTTACTTAACATTCTTAAGCCTTGTGTCCACGATCCAAGAATTGTGTAGCCAATCAACTTGCAGCTTTTCCGTAAAAGATAGCTGAATCGTGGACGCAAGGCTTTGCGTTGCCTGCTAAACTCGATTGTTAGTGTTTCGCGTACGCACAACGAGTACGAGTCTACGATGCGGTAAAATGCTGTTATTACCTGGAATATTTGGTTACTACCGAACTGGTATGACGTGGGTACCAATAAACCAGAGGATGTAGGACGATACATCATTCCTGCAACATTATCTGAAATACAGCTTGCATTAATATATCGCGAAACGAAAAGGTCGATTAAGCGTGCAACGCGTGGAGAGATCCGAGAAGATACTTTTTCTCACTCCGGATCCTCCGTAAAGATGTTTTACCTTGCCGCATCGTGGTAGCACCTGGCCGCAATGTTTTCAGATCGGAATACCTCGGCTGCATCGGCGGTCGTCCTCGTCCGCGGCCGGTGATCGGCGCGGGGAGCAACTTCGGTAGAAGCGGCTGCGGGCCCTTGGCGCTCATCGCCATTGCCGCGAGCGCGCTCGGGTTGGTCGGGCCGACGGGCCGCGCGCGATTCAATCGCGGTATCTTGGCCGGCGGCTCCCAATCTACCGCGGGCTCCAGGTTCCGCTCCGGTCTGAACTTCTTGGTGCAGGCGAGAATGTGCCGCGTCAGCTTGCCCTTCTGATTGTCCTCGAACGGGCAGTTGGGGCACTGGTGGAAGGCGGGGCCGCGCTCCAGTCTGCCGCGAGTATTGTGCTCCGCCTCCATGTGATAGAGGATGTCGTGCGGGCTGCGCACCTCCATCGGGCAGAAGTTGCACTTGTAAACGTAGTTGCGCATATGCGGCGTCTCCAGGTGGTGCTGCATGACTAACGTCGATTCCGTCTTAAAGCTACAGAACTCGCACTTCTTCATCTCTAAGTGGAATGGCTCGTTATTCTCTTTACTAAACTCTAGATTCTTGATAAGCGAATTTATAGCTAATTGAGTCTCGGCCGACGTGCTACCCTTGCCCTGTTTACGCTTTTGAGTCCGTAAGAGGTCGGTTTGCACATACTCCTGAACGAGGTTCATTCCGATTTGCATGAAGAACTTGCCCAGCGGCAGGTCGAAGTACGTGGGTATTTTGTTTCTGTCGTCCTGCCTCAGCTCGTGTTTGTCACTGATGCCACTGAAACCGTGCTCGATCAGGTCTATCGAGCCGTCGCCACCGCCCCGGTCGTCCCCCTCTCGCTTGGCCCTGCCCTCGACGTCGCTCTCCTCGGACTTGTCGCTGGCCCTTTTAACGATATCCAAAGAGTCCTCCTTGTACTCCTCGGCGTCCTTGCTCTCGTCGACGAGTCTCTTGAGTTTCTCCTCCTTCTCCCACTCCTCTATGCACCTCTCCAACTTGGTGACGTACTCCTTTAGCGGCTTCAGGGGCGGCTTCTCGTATACGTAAGGTACTATAAAGGATGGCGCTTCGACCACGAACATGTCGTCGGTCAGGGTCGGCAGAATCGGCGGCACCACCGTCGGCGTGACTGTGGTCATGCTACTGGTCTTCGGGCTGAGCTGCGCCGCCTTCGAGGTCATGGGCACCGGCGTGATGGTCGTCCTCATGTTCGGATACATCGTCTGCGTCGTTATACCGCCCATCGGGACGACCGAGAACGAGCTGGAGTTGGGCACCGAGTGGTGGGGCTTGCTGTTGCTCACGGGAACCCCGCCGCGACCCGAGAGGATCGAGTTCGTGTCTATTATGACTAACGTGGGTTCCTTCTTCCCGCCCTTGATAGACTTGCTGCCGGCGGCGATCTCCACCAGCCGCTTGGTGTCGTTGACGACGATGGTGGTCTTGCTGTTCCTCACCGGCGACTTGAGCTTCGAGTTCTCCTTGTCCTTGCTATCGATCACGGCCAGCGGATCCTCCGGCTTGATCTCCTCTATGTCAGATCCATCGTCGTCCACCTCCTCCTCCAGCTCCTTCTCTATGTAACTCGTGCGCTTGATGTTGCGCGAGCTTCTTCTCGGCGTGATGTTACTTAGATCTATCTGTTTTCGCTGCTTCCGCTGCTTGGCATCCTTCACCGCGTGCTCCAACAACGCGTCGTGATCGTTGCTCTTGGCGCCGTCGGTAATCTCCTCGATGTCGGGGCTGTCGCAGCTCCCGTTCTCCTCGCAGAGCTTCACGTCGTCCGACTTCTCTATGCTGTTGTCGGCGATCTCACTACTGTCACAACTACAGTTTGACGACACGTCGGCGTTGCTGTCCCGCTTGGCAACGGCCTTCTTCGAGATGAACACATCGTCGCTGTCCAACTGTATCTCCGTGATACTCTCGTCGAGACACTCTACGTCAGAGTTATTACTTTGCTCGTCCACCTCCATGGCCTCACAGGACGTGTTTTTACACTCGGCTATTTCGGTTTTAGACACTTCACTAGAATCGTTCGTCTCACTTACACCGTCGGGTGAGTCGGATACCTTAAAGTCATTTTTCAGGTCGAACGCTTCACCCTCCTTGCTAGGATTACCTATTGCCTCGTTATGCTCACTGTCCTCTTTACTCTCTCGCATCTCGACCGATCTCTCACGTTCATCCTCGTCATCCTCCTCGTCCCTATCGTCCTCTTCCTCTTCCTCCTCATCCTCATCCTCCTCACCCTCATCCTCCTCCTCCTCCTCCTCCTCCTCCTCCTCATTAGCCTCCTCTTCTTCGACAATATCTTTCAATGCTACCTTACTCGCGCTATCACTGGTATCCATGTACTCTTCGTTGTCGGCACTGTAGTTTCCATTCACGCCGTTCGGAATAATCACATCTGCAAGCAATTGTAAAGCGTTTAATACACGTGCGATCGTTACTGAATTATTTTACTGCTTATTGAATGACTACTCTAATTGTTTCGAAGCACCGATGACAACGAGCGCGCGTAAGATCTTTTCGGCCAACAAGAATTCTTCAAGACTAATTTTAGTGACACTTTTATCGACAAGAGTGGACTCAGAGTATCGACCTATGTCTCTAAAGTAGTTACTTTTCACGTTACATCTTTGTTAATTTGTATATAATTTACTTATTACGCAGATGTACAAAAGGCCGAAAGGATCTGTAGAGTAACAAGTACCAAAGATGTTATCGTATTCGCAACAAATGCATTCTAGATACAAAGGCCCATATTCTGAATTCTCTTGTATCGAAAAAGCGCCTTTGAAAGTGGCTTGTAGCCAATCAAAAGGCTTACTAGTCACTTTTAGAGGCGCTTATTAATAAAAGAGAGTTCAGAATACTCGACGGTTATAAATCGAGTAAAAAAAAAACTCATATGGAAAGAGGCAGGGGCACGATTTCTGCGTGACACTTTTTTAAAACAAAATCTTTAGCTGAGATAGGTCCAGTTTCACAAACGTCGGTTAACTGTTAACCAGAGTTCAGTCGACTTCCTATCTTTTTCTATCTTGTTATCCAAGAAGAGACAGAGCATCAATTAACCATGGGTTAGCGGTTAAACGACGTTTGTGAAACTGGCCCATAATGTCACATCTAACCACTGCCGAATTACGATCAGTAATATATTAGATAACAACGCTGCGAGGTTTTTTTCCGCGAGACACGTAGCTGCCCCGCAAAGTCTAATCAACAACGTGCTCTTTGCGTCTGGAAACGGTTCTATTTCACAGCCAACAAATACGTTTAAAGAATACGTGCAAGTTGATCAATTGTACAATTGTACGTTGTCTATAAATTTTTTAAACGTTCCGATTTGCTTAAAATAGAACGTTTCCAGATGCAAAGAGCACATTGTAGACCGGGCTTAAATAGCGACAGAAACTCGCACACGTTGTACTGCGTGCGGAAACTGAGATGAAATCGTCTAACGTCCATTTCTATCAGTGCGGATTAGCTCCAGTCTCGGTTTAACTTTCTTTTTATCTTCTTCCAGCTCTAAGACCCGGTTTCACCACCGAACGTCCCTTAACTTTTATCCTAGTTTAATTCACAGTTGACTCTTTCTAAAATTGGAAAGAGACAAAGAACGAATTAAGCCGAGCTTAAAGTCAAACAACGTTGGTGAAATCGGGCCTAGGGCTTTACTTTACTCGCCATCTTTTTCCAACTCTTAAGCCTATCACACAATGCGAGGCAACAGGCAACAGGAATAGGGAATAGAATTTTTGACGCGTTGGATTGGTTGAAGGAAAATTTCCGACGAATCCAACGCGTCAAAAATTCTATTCCCTGTTCCTGTTGCCTGGCATTGTGTGATAGGCTTTAGGCCCGGTTTCACCAACGTCGCTTAACTTTAGCTTCAATTTAATTCACGTTCGTCGCTTTCTAGAGCAACAGTTGAAAAGAGACAAAGAGCGAACGAGGCAAAACTT